GACTTCTGGCTGCTCCACTTGGCTCTGGTTAAACAGAAGCCCAACAGGCAGCGCTGGATTGTGTTTACCAGAGTATTCTTGCTTTCTGTCGGTCTGCACATGGCTGCAACGTTGTCTCTGTTATAGCCAGAGGACAGCTCTGACCTTCACTCCACACAGACAAGAGCTCACAGCCCGTCGAACAGCCGCACACACGCTGCAGTCAGGACTCCTCCGTCCGTTCACAATAACACAAAAACAAACGCATGTGTGCGTTTTTAATGTCGGCGGTAAAGTGTGTGCCGTATAAATAGCATCTTTTGTGGAGTGACATTGTGAACGACATAAAAGAGGACGATGAATGTGTTTCGGGGATTCTTTTCAGTGTCGCTGTGAATACACAAAGTCATGTTCCCAGTCATCTGACTACTAGTGTAACCTCAGTCTTGTTTATCGGCATTCTAGGTCTTAGACATTTTAGCAGCCTATTGATTCCCGGCTGAGTGCTTGACAATGACCTTTGCATTTCCAGGCTCTTTCAGTGAGTCGGTTTGCTTATTCTCGGTTAAAAAAGACAGAGTGGGGCAGGAAAAAGGAAAAAAAAAAAAAAAATCTGCTTATGTCTAGAGAATTTGAGCACCATGAAAAACTTCAGCTGTAGTCTGCAGCCCACCAGAAATCAATCCAAGAGGCTGACTGCTTCAAGCTGAGAGGCAACGAGCAGAAACTGACACTCCAAAGGACTCTTCTTCACTCACTGAAGTTCACTTTTTTTGTTTGTTTGTTTTTCACCAGCGCTCTGTTTTTCATTCACTTCAGCCTAACGCGACAACAGGGACGACTCTATGATACATTATGACGCTTTTATCTCTCCGCAGATTAATGGCGCAACTAACACAATGACATTAGCCAACAGCCATCACCTTAAATGGCCACTTACTGTATGTCTCAGCTCTCTCTTTGCCCAATTAAAAGAGACAGGCCAATTATCCGGATGCAAGGCCGATCCTTTTTTCTTTCTGAATATGCTCGTCTTTGCTAATGATGAAAACACATTATCCCGATTAGGCCGTCGTTTGACTGTCCAAACTCGGTTTTTTGCATCGTGATGGAGCACTTCTTATTGTCTCTTAATGCAAACGCCAAATGCCTGGGGACGGCTAATTGGTGCAACTATTAGAAGAGAAAGAAAGTTTGTGTTTGTGTGGGGAAAAAAAGACACACTGAAAGGAAACCAAGTGAAACAAACACAGAGAGGAAGGGATGGACTTTTATATTTCTTTCTATCTCAAAGGTATTATGAGACAATCTGCTGCCACAACTGAAATGAACTCCTAATTAAACCGCCTCAGACGTTTTTTTTTTTTTTTTTTCCAGTTTCCCACACATTCCGTGGAAGGTGTTGCTTCTGTGTTCTTCCCCGCTGTGCGCCAAACTAACACTTACTAGTCTCCTGTCAGTAATGTTGAGACTTCCATCTGTCTGCATACTTGCACCGGAGTGTTAAACCCACAAAGCCTTTACTAAAGCTTTGTGGAGTTGATTAAGCGCACAGCCTGATGCACCCACTGAGGAACAAAGCAGCAGTTTAAAGGCTAACTTTTTGCATAACTTACATCGCTGTTTGTACCGAATAACGTTAACTCCATTTTACAGTGAAGCACGTGCGACACTTTGCTAATCATCTCTGTAACAAGAGATGCGAGGCTGCGTACACTAAGTAAGCATGATCTGCCCTCAGACACAAAACACTGAGAGGCTCATAGCAGCCATCCGGTCCCAACCTGTCACAGTCCTCAAACATATCGATCAACGGAGAACGATATAGGTGGAGGTCAGGACAAAAGTGGCATCTGGATGTAGAATGACAGCCTTTTACAGACAGGAGTCACTCGGCAGGAACACAAACATGGAGGGAACAAGAGAAATGATGAGGGGGCAGGGCATCTCTGAAGAGCCCCTTCCCCCTTAGAGAGTCCTCCAGGAGACCTTGGAGGACAGAAAAACAGATTTCTTCCAAATGTACCTGCGTTTCAACATCCAAATGTGTTTGTATTTTAAAAGGAAAGTTTGTTCGTGAATGGCAAGATAAAGAACAAACCGCAAAACATGAAAGTAAAGCATAGCGGCGGCTTGTTGTACGACGGTGCTTTGTAGCCCAGAAATTAGTTTTCTTTCTTCTATAAATTGCTATTATTGGATTTTCGAGATAAATATTCTGTGTAGAGTTTGGCTTTTTAAATAGAGGGATTTATGGGGAGAGCGAGCAGTGACTAAGTTGTCTGGCGTTGACAACTTTCATAGCTGTATTATATTTATTTCATCGGGCTTGGTCAGCAATCAAACATTTTGTGGCCCACTTCTAAATGTTTAATGCCCTCAATGTGAATATTTCATACCCAGATCTGCAGCTTGATCCTCTTGTCATTCTTGTACACGGTCTTCACTTTGAAGTCGATGCCCACCGTGCTGACGAAGGCTGAAGTGAAGGCATCATCGGCGTAGCGGAACAGGAAAGACGTTTTGCCCACGCTGCTGTTGCCGATGATCAGCAGCTTGAACATGTAGTCGAAATTCTGGTCCCCTCCCTCTCCCTTCCCTTTCACATCCTGAGTGGCAGCCATCTGCAACAACAACAACAACAAAAAGACATTTGTGAAGCTTCACCTTGAATCAACGTGAGGCTTCTTCTGAGCCGTGACGCACAGAAAACGTCTCAAAAAGTAACATTAGTTTTTCCGCACTTGACCCTGAGCGATTTTAGTTTATTTACAACGCAAGTAGAAGGCGAGAGAGCGAGAGAGACGCTGTATGCAGAGTACAGTAGAATCTTGTTGTACAGGCCACAGATCAGAGGTGACAGAAGGCTGTGTCAGGCAAATCAGCATGAGCAACACAGCAAGCTGTTGTATTGATGAGTATTAGATAACCAGGATTTTAAAAAGGCTGAGTAAAGCCATTCTTTAATGAAACAAGAGGCACGCCACCATTAATGCTATTAATCACAACAAAGCCAAAATTAGCTACTAAATTCAGACAGATTGTGCAGCTTTTAGATACTAGATGCAATACTGTTTCCCCCCATATTGGAGATATCATCCACTGCATTGCAATTTTACATCACCTCAATTCAAATTGTATTTTGCAATTTTAGCTGCAGATGTTTTGAGTCTGCCTTTGGAAAGTTTTCCTCCAATAAACACAGTCATATATGTAAGCAACCCTTTAAATCTACATCCAGCTGCAGCTCACTGTTGTGCAAAAAAAAAGGGATAAAATAGAAATGCATGTTTCACCTTAGCAGAGCATCTACACTGAGCGTTTCCGTGCAAGCTGTCAGCAGTCACCGACCCGAGAGGACAAGAGTACCGGATGACAAGAGCACAGTCATCTTTGGTCCAAGGTGAATGTATTGTCAAAGCCAGTGAGCTTACATGCTAAAGCCTATGCAGTTAATTAAAAAAAAAAAAAAAAAATGCCGGACCCCCATCCTTCACATTAGCTTCTCCTCGCTTCCGTGTATTAAAAACACCACTGAGGCGTTTTTTTTTTCCTTACAAGGACACCGCTTCAAAATATCCTTGCAATGATGGCAAATTTTTTTTCACGCGCACCGCACAAAAACCAACATTTTTTTTTAGCTTAGCGAGGAGCTGCTAATGTTAGATTAGCGATTCTGGGCAGGAGGTCATTTTGTCTATTAATGAAAAATTCTCCCACATTCTAAGATATGAAACGGAGGACGTTGTGCGAACAAACCTGTTTTGAAGGCCTCGGTTCTATCTGTGTCTGCCTCTGTTTTGCAGGGTATTTTTTTTTTTATATTTATATATTTGAATGTAACGCAGACGCTGCTTCTCTTCTCCCCCCTCTCTCTCTCTCTTTCTCTCTTTCTCTCTCTCTCTCTCTCTCTCTGGTTCTCTTTGGAGCGCCGACCGGTTTCAGCACCTGGGAGCTGTCCCCTCCACTTCGGATCTGGCACGCGCCCCTGAGCTTGACGAGGCTGGCTTGGCTCGCGTGAGGTGATGAGCACGAGCGAAAGGCAGCGAGCGGCGTGCGTAACTCGGACGTCACCAACCGACAGTGGGGAGGAGGATGTTGGGGAGTTGTAGTTTTTTGCGCCGGTTCGGCGTCTAGGAGGTGAACGGCGTAAGAATGGGCGATTTGACTACATTACCCGGCAGGCAGCGCGCCACAGCTGTCAGCAGCTGTATGATTTACTGAAATAAAAACCTTTGTTGCCGTTAATAATCGTCAGAGACGGGCTTGAATGGCGTAGGGACGCTGTGTAACGCGCCAGACTATATTAAAAAAAATAAAAAAATAAAAAAAAGCTAAAAGCCTTTGCTAAATCTCTTACTATTCAAACTACAATCTCAGCTCTTCCTCCTCATCAACAAAACGACTCTTCTTACCTTCCCATACAGGTCCATTGCGCCCTCAGTAATATTTCACCTGCTTGTTTTTTTTGTATTTCTATTTTTACAGTTCTCTGCAGCATCTAATAAACTCCCAGCAGGGTTGCATTTTTTTTCCCCAGGAAGCAAATATAATAGCCTCTCCTTTTTTTTTTTACGTCACTCTCTGTCGCTTTTCTCTCCGCCCCTGGAGCCTGCTCTGCTTCAGAGAACAAGCGGCTGAGCAAATAAGAGAGGCCTGATGAATATTGTTATTATGGGCCTTTTCAATGGTAGCAAGTGCGGAAGGAGGAGGAGGGGTGGGAATGGACATCTTTGCAATTATAATCACACCGGCTCTGCTCTTAGGCTGATTATAAACCTGCATGTTTAATTTGAGAGGTGCTGCACAAGTGAGCGCCATGCAGCTCTCTCTCATATCAGCTGTTGTTTATTTTTTCCTCCTGTGAGCCTCACCTGTCCTTTCTTACTCATCTCAAGCCTAGAATAGCCCCATCATGTGCTTAAAAAACCACCAGACACAACAGACGTTGCATAACAGTGGACGACAAACTCAGATCCACACATCCAGGATCCACTCCACGGCTCGGTGCGTCTGGAGACGTTTGATAGGACGCGCATGAAGTAATTGGGCGGGATGTGCTGACGGATTGGCCTTTGACTGGAGGATGTGCTTGTCCGGGGAGCAGAGAGCAGGGGGCGGGTAAGGTAAGCAGCAGCAACAACAAGCGTGGTTCTACAATTGCGTTACAACTTCACAAAAATTCACCAAATCTTCACACAAACACACGCACCAAAACCATATCTCGCTCAGAAGTGCGTTTGTTTGTGCGCGTTTTGCACCGATTTCCTCTTGAGTGCAGTAATGTCAGTGCAGTGTCAGCGTGTTTAAAGGTAACTGGTGGGGTATAGTGTGCTTTTAGAGCTCCTCTTTGTCGAGAATAAACATTTGAAGACGCAAGAGTTGTGGTTTGGCAGAGCTTTGGTTCATGGCTTTTATTGGCTTCAGCACAGGGAAACTTTTCTAGAAGGTTTCTACGTGAGGAAGGAGGTCACTGTAGCCCCATCTGCTGTTGGAAAAGGTGCACTGGTGTTGTTTTGCTCCTGGCAGCTCCCACAGTCTGCTCTGAGGTAATGATTAACAGAGCAGTGTTTGCAGAAATCAAATAACTCGGTTTATAAGCTTCCCTCTTGATACCAAAGGGATCTGCTTACAGAGGAAGAGTTTTTGGTTATTTTTTTTTTTTTTAAACCTTGTTAATCAATTGATTATCAACAGTTTGGAATCAGGAATCAGGAACAAACTTTCTAAACAGTGAAGTGACTAATTTTGCCAATAATGTAGTCAGTGTTGTGGCATGGAGAACAGAATGAGATGTTGAAAATTGTAGTTTATTAAATGAAATGACATCTGTGGAGACCTTAAGGCATTGCATGTTAGGAATAATGTTCTTTCAATCCTACATGGTGATGGTTTTCCTTACAGAAGTAACAACAGGAGCATTTCAGAGCTCCACTGATAAGCTGGCTGGCCCGATATAATGAGCCATGCTGCTTTTTTTTTTTTTTTTTAAGCTATGTGTCTATTGGCCAGAAGGTAACAAGACACTGCAGGCCAGAGATGCCACAGTTTAATATAGAAACAGTGTTTTATTTCACAGTTTGTCCACAGGAGAGCATGATCAAGTTTATTTATCGACAGGTTTCTCTTCATTCATTCAGTCTTGCTGCAGTGGGGGTATTCTGTATAGTAGCCAGTCTTTGATAATCATTTTGCCAATGTCAGCTTCACTTGACATAGAAGCTGCAGTAGTTCAGAGCTGTGACCTTATTTTTACTCTCTAATCAAACAAATGTGTTGATTTAAAAGTTGTGCTTGTCACCAGTCTCTTGTAGTTTACATACACTGTATAAAAACCTTTTTTTCCCTCACTGTCTGACATTAAATCAGACTAAACTTTTCCTGTTTTAGCTCAGTTAGGACTGCCAACATTATTTCTATTTGCTAAATGCCAGAATAATGAGAGAGAGAATTTTTTAAAACTTTCTTCTAAGTCAGAACTTTACATCCATTTCCTTACTATTTGGTGGCGTTGCCTTTAAACTGTATGTTTTGGGTCAAACGTTTTGGGTTTCCTTCCACAAGCTTCTCACAATAGTTTAATGAATTCTGGCCCATTTCTCCTGACAGAACTGGTGGAACTGAGTCAGGTTTGTTGGCTCTGTCCACAAGTTTTCTACAGTATTGAGATCATGGCTTTGTGATGGCCACTCCAAAACATTGTCTTTGTTGTCTTGAATCCTATTTGTAACTAATTTGGTGGTATGTTTAGGGTCATTGTCCATCTGAAGACCCATGTGCGCCCAAGCTTTAACTTCCTGGCTGATGTCTTGAGATGTTGCTGTACTATTTCCACATAATGTTCTTTCCTCATGATGCCATCTATTCTGTGAAGTGCACCAGTCCCTCCTGCAGCAAAACACCCCCACAGCATGATGCTGCCACCCCCGTGCTTCACAGTTGGGATGGTGTCCTCAGGCTTCAAGCTTCCCCCTTTTTCCTCCAGATGTAACGATGGTCATTTAGGCCAAACAGTTCAGTTTGAGTTTCATCACACCACAGGACATGTCTCCACAAATGAAGGTCTTTGTCCCTGTGTGCATTTGCAAACTGTAATCTGGCTTTTTTATTTTCCTTTTGGAGTAATGCTGTCTTCTTCCTCTCTGAGTATCCTTCCAGCCCATGTCGGTACAGGACTGGTTTCACTGTGGATAATGACTCTATCCTACCAGCTTCAGTAGCGTCTTTACAAGGTCTTTTGCTTTTGTTCTGGTGTTGATACACACATTTCTACCAAAACGCTTCATCTCTGGGACACAGAACCCGTCTACCTCCTGAGCAGTATGATATCTGGACATTCCCATGGTGTTCATACTTGGGTATAATTGTTTGAACAGATTAATGTGGAACCTTCAGTCATCTGGAAATTGTACCCAAGGATGAACCAGACTTTGGGAGGTCCACAATTCTCATAATGATGATGTTGTCACAAAAGGAAGCAGAGTGTTTGAGGTGTGTCTTAAAATACATCCACAGGTGTGCCTCCAATTAACTCAAATGTTGTCAATTAACCTATCAAAAGCTTCCAAAGCTGTGACATCATCATCTGGGCTTTCCCAAATAGTTTGAAGGCAAAATAATCTTATAAACTTCTGACTTTGAAGAAACTTTATCAACCCTATTCTCAATCTCTTTAACTGGTTGATTGTTTCTCCAAAACAAAACAATATAATTAACTTTTAAAACAATGTGAATGTTATGTGTTTCTGTTAAAAAATAATTTTTAAAAAAAGGAAGAAAATCTGCCGATGTAAAAGCTTCAAATAATATTGGTATTCAGTTCAATAAACCAGTTTTTGTTCCACTAGAGAGTATTTTAGAGATATTCAGATAATCTGAAGTGTTATTTCCTTGAATAGAAATACCACTTTTTATTTAACGAGCTACAGTAATGTGTGACCTTTCTGCCGTATTTTGACCACACTAGTGACAGTTTGCGATGGAGGACTCCATTGAGGTGATTTTGCAAGACCGCGGCGGGGTGCTTCCCACCAGCAGACCCCATCCCGTCCTGTCAGCCTGCACAGGCGCTCTGCTCACAGGCCTCTACGGAGTTTGGAGCCTCTTTGTCATACCTGGCTTCCGCAAAGTCCCCTGGAAACTCAAGGTGCTTGAGATTTCCTTTTGTTCTGTTTTTATCTGCCTGCTCTGCCTTCTTAGCACCCTGCGAATATCAAATCAAATTCTGCTTGCGTGAAATCACAGAAACTCCTCCAAGACAAAGCGTAACTTGCACATTAATGAGAATTTGCTTGTTTTGGAGCCTAGTGCTCCGAGCTAACAACAAATGTGGGAAAAGAAGCAAATGGTAAGTCTATATCTGTGATTATGTATTAAGGAAATCTGCACTATCAACTTCTACCTGCATTCAAAATGTAATTGCTTTGGCTAATACATCTCTGAGATTAGTTTTTGAGATTGAAGATATGATGCTTTTGCTGCCGTTTCTCTTGTCAGCTATTGTATATCGCTCATAAAACTCCTTATGCTCGGAGAAAAGTGGGCTATGACACATTAAATGGAGTTTACCACAGCTAGAAAAGTCTTTATGAGTTTTGGATTCAGACAGCTATTGTGCAGCAGCTCCAGTGACAGCGAGTGGGAGCTCAGATTCAAGGTTACAGCTCATAGAAGAGTTGACTGTTGCGAGCGGAAGTATGTTTCAGTTGAAGCACTTTCAGAAATGTTTTACCGTAAAGTTGAAAAAAAACTTTTATTTTAGGAGAGTTTAGCTGATGATTTTAGGAAATGTGGAATGTTATTTTAGGTTTTCATGCAGTAGAACTTATCTACAGTAATGTGACAGACAGATTATGAAAGAAACTTCATCTAATATGAACTTCATAGCAAGGAAGTGTTGGAATAAATGCTGTCTGTCATGTACATCGACTGACTGCGTGCTTGTACTGTGGTCCAGGTTCCTTATCTGCCCTCCAGTAAAGATCAAACACTGAACACAATGAAGCTGCTTGAGGGACGAACAGGTCGCTTAGCAGATCTGGGTTCAGGAGATGGACGACTGGTGAGTGAGATGCGCCTGTTTCCAGACTTGAGTTAGCATTGTTGCTTGTAGGCTACATATAGTTGTATTTTACCCGATCCTATTTGTTTTCCAGGTGTTTGCGGCCTCTTCCGCTGGTTTCCAGTGCACAGGGTTTGAGATTAACTCCATTTTGGTGGCGTATGCCAGGAGCAAGGCCTGCTGGACCGGAGTCCCCTCCAGCCAGGCATCCTTTGTTACACAAGACTTCTGGAAGGTGAGACCTCGATGAAAACAGATGCTTTTGTTAGTCCTGATCAAAGCTGTAATCTGACCACATTCTTTTCTCGTAGACCGATCTGTCTTCATACAACAATGTGACAGCTTTCCTTTCTCCAGGAGTGGTGAGCGCTTCTCCTATGAAGAATTCTCTCCCTTGCCATAGATCATTTGATTCTGTATAATTAATATGGCATATATAGCCCAGATTGCTAATCCGCCTTCTGTGATTGGTTCCCAGATGGGGGTTCTGGGTGAGAAGCTGCTGCAAGAGCTTCCAGACGACGCATGTGTCATCGCTTGTCGTTTTCCTTTCCCTAACTGGCCACAGCAATCGTCCGCCGGCTCCGGACTCGACGAGACTTTTGCTTATGACATGAGCACCGTGCGCTCGCATTTGAGAAATGTACCGAACACAGCGCAGAAATAAGTCAGAGTCTCTCACTCTCAACAGCTCTTAGCCCTCCAGTCGCTTTCTGTTTTTTTCAGAAATGCAAAATAACATAGAAAACCATACAAAGAAAACACATTTATAGAAGTCAATCAAAAAGCACTTTTGGGAAGAAAATCGGTGATGTTTGCCTTTTATGAGCGCTGCTCACGAGTGATCCTTCTGAAAGATGTTTTTGAACGTCGCAAAGATGAGAAGGACTCTGACTAAGCAACATGTCAGAAAGATTTTGACATCACTTGGCGCCTGCAGTATTTGTTCCATCTTTGCACTTCCAGAACAGACTGAGCTGTGCCGTGTTGCTCATGATGTTGGTGTAAATGCTGTCGTGCACCACTATCTACAGTACGGCTACAGCTGTCTGTCTAAAGCACTCCACCGCTACTAATAATTTCAGTTTCGCTTCAATGATAATGAACCTATTTAATAGGATGCTGCAAGAGACACTGTAGTATTTTTAGAGGTGTTTGTGAGTTTGCAGTTAGAGTTGTGTTTGAAAAAAAAGGAATGGTTTGCCTCCAGCTTGAGTTCAATCTGAGGTTCGTTCCATCGGTCTCCCAGACAGCCGCAGAGGTTTAGACACAGGCGTTTTTGTGTTGTGCGTGGGCACCCTATAGGTGACCTAAAATTGCTATCTGTGTCATCTAACCCTTGTTGGTCATGTTGCATGAGTAACAGGGTGGAGAAATGAGCACTTTAATCTGAGAGCTGTGGTTATATACAGTATGTAACCATGTGTTTGACTTTGTTTATTAGTCATGAAACTGATAAAAAATATCAATAAAATTTGCTGGTAAGTGAACATGCAGTACATTTTTGGTTAAAATGAGGATTTAATTAACTTTAGAAATGTAGCATTTG